AGCTGGATGTCATCACTAAGGTCTGGTGCAGGATTCAGGCAGCGGCATGGTGGAGGCAGGCTGTCCGTGAGTGAGGTCAAGTAGGAAGGATCTGCACATGGAGAGGACAGTATGTAGGGCATATACACAGGTATAGGAAAGAAATACAGCAGGAAGATGCCTCAGGAAAAACAAGACTTTATAGATCTGTGGTTTGAAGCCAATTCAGGTGCCAAACACTGATTTTCTTTCTGTTCAGCGTCTGTAGAGCCTTTCAGCACCTGGATCGTGTCTGTGAAGCACCCTCTGGAGACAGTTTGAGAAGATGCCTTCAGCTAGCTGCAAGCCCTCGTAAGGCAAAGCTATCGCAGATGGCCTGTTGTTGCCGAGATGTCCCAAAGACGGAAGGCACTGCCCCTAAAGTCAGGCTTGCCAGGCACCTGCCAATCCAAGATTTTTAGTTATCATCAGATGTAACATTGCCAGGTGTCCGAATCTGGCTGAGTTATTAAAAAAGCTCTAGGAAAGAAGAAAAAAAAAGATTTCACTGCTTTCAAGAGCCAGAGGTTAGGGCAAAGTTTGTTGTTTCTTTAAAAAAAAAAAAAAAAAAGCCTGACAGTAAACTGAGCAGCAGTGTTTCATCATCAGGGCCTGATGCCTCCAGATTTTTGAGCAGTGGAGTGTAACTTGCCAGGTGTGCTGTCCTGATGTCTGAGGTACGCCTGAAAATTCTCTTCAGAAATCCCAACTGAGGGGGGCAGCTTGAAGGTACTGAGCATTTTTTAATCCAGAGGAAAAAAAAAACGAGTGAAGACATGACAGTAATCTTCCAACATCTAATTATTCCCTCCAGGCTGCGAGGAAACAAAAAATGATCAGCTTTATTTCAAGCAAAAAAGGTTTGTGGTATGAAAACTCCAACACTGCAATGCTGGCTGAAAAATCAGGCCACCTCAAGAAATTGTAGCATCTCCTTTACTGCAAGTTTTTTAAAAGCAAGTTAGATTAACATTTTTCAAGAGTAGTCAAAATATACTTAGTGCTACAGCACCGCAGGGACCGCAGAATCATAGAATCATAGAATGGTTTGGGTTGGAAGGGACCCTGAAGATGATCCAGTTCCACCCCCTGCCCTGGGCAGGGACCCCTCCCACCAGCCCAGGTTGCTCCAAGCCCCGTCCAACCTGGCCTTGAACCCCTCCAGGGATGGGGCAGCCACAGCTTCTCGGGGCAACCTGCCCCAGGGGCTCACCACCCACACAGGGAAAAACTTCTTCCTGATATCTCATCTAAATCTCCCCTCTCCCAGTTTGAAGCCATTCCCCCTCGTCCTGTCACTCCCTGCCCTTGTAAAGAGTCCCTCCCCAGCTCTCCTGGAGCCCCTTTAGGCACTGGAAAGGGCTCTAAGGTCTCTCTGGAGCCTTCTCTTCTCCAGGCTGAACACCCCCAACTCTCTCAGCCTCTCCTCATAGGAGAGGTGCTCCAGCCCTCGCAGCATCTTTGTGGCCTCCTCTGGACTCGCTCCAACAGGTCCGTGTCCTTCCTGTGTAGGGGGCTCCAGAGCTGGAGGCAGTACTCCAGGTGGGGTCTCACCAGAGCAGAGTAGAGGGGCAGAATCACCTTCCTGAGAGGAGGATGTGAGTCTCTCCAGCTCTGCAATAAGCTGTATTCCATCCTACGAGGGGGTACTCAGCTGTTACTCTGAATGTCTCTGGGTTGGGAAAAGGGAAGAGGAGAGTTGACCCGTTGTACTTGCCTACAGCCATCTTCTCCATCTGCTGCTGATGCTTATCCACTTCTTCGGTGCCTCGAGGCACTCTCCTTCAATACTCCATTCCTTGGGTTTTTTTCTCCTAAGCTTCTTTAAGTCACCAATTCTTCTTTTTCCCAAACAATGGATTCATGTACCCTCCCTGAACTTCTGATAACATTTCTGGCAATCCAACTAACTGTGAAACATGTTGTCTGAATCCTCTCTAAACGCCCAAACCCAGAAAAAAACTCTATCCCTTCCTTTCATGTCACTTTTCTATTGTATCAAAGGAAACAAGTCCTTTGAAGAGGTGTTTTACTCCTGCGGCTGCCACACTGCTCCCTGAATTGTCCCCAGGCCATGGTCCTCTAACCACAGCAGCCCCATCGACGTAAAAGCTAAATGGGCAGCGATACGAGAGCAAGGGATCGCGCTGGTTTATTGCTGTAACAGGACCGAGCGTTAGCTTACTAAAAGGACAAACTGAAAATTCAAGTAGGTTGGCAAGACATGGGCCGGAGCCCTGGGAGAGCCTGCAGGAGGAGCTCTCTAGACGTGTCTCTTGGTCCCTTCTTGGGCAGTAGCAGCTGCGTGTTCCAAGGGCGTCGCTTCACTCGCGGACAAACCACCGGCGGAAGGGGCAGCCGACTTCCCACTTCTTCGACTGAGCACTTCCAGTGATTTTTCGAACCTCTCGGATGCCTTCTTCCTCCGCGCCATCTTTCTCTCCTCTTCTCTCAAAAACTGCTGCTTTAAGTGTTTGTGGAAACGTTCGGTCTTCTTTTTGGCCTCTTCAAAGTGTTTTACCTTTATGAAAACAAACATTAGACCTTATAGCCACTATCCTATCCATGAAATAAAGAACTCCAAAGTGACACTTGTCTTTGGGAACAGAGACAACCTGTCACATCCGCCCACACTGTGGTCAAATTGACCTCCAAGCAAAAAGCTCCAAAATTCATAAGTATCTCTCTAAACATTGGTCTGAAAAAGGTTACTCAAATCGTCCTGCCTCCTTGGCTATAATTCATGTTATACTGCTGTAAGAGGCAGGTCTGGAGGACAGTAGTTACACTCTCTTGCATTCTTGCATCTCAGACCCGATCCATCGCACCGATAACAAAAAAAAACACATCATAAAACCAACCAACAACAATATGGTCACCTGGTTTGAGTGGGCTTTCAACCAGAATTTACTGGGCAAGCTAACGAGCTTCGTGTCACCCGCGTATCACAGGTGTAGCACGGGCTTCCACGCTTGCAAGCGTGCAGTCTCTCCAGCCATAAGGGGTTCGCAACCGCTGAGTCTCTTGACAGAAACCTGTCCGTGTGCGTGGGGCAAACCCAGGGCGCACCCGCACTGCAGGACCAAACCCGGTGTCACAACACGGCTTGGGGCTTGGTTGTAGCCTGGAGCTAATTCACTCGCAGCGGCTACGCTGCCCTGAGGTCTTGAAACTCGCACATCGTAAATATTTGCAGGCCAGGAGGATCTCCGCAGCACACAGCTACCTAGAGGTTACCATCAGTCCACTGACTTAAGGGATCAGGGAACACCAAACCGAGGAAAAGATGCCTCCGCTCTGCCTTGCAAGGCTGTCCCTCCCCATGATAGCATAAAGAAACCTTCCGTCGGGACCTGTTAGTGTCACTAGTGCATGTCTCAAGTACAGATTTTAGCGAGAGACACTGGGAATTGAAACCATCAGACGTTAATTTCTGTATTAGACTTTCTTATTTGAGCAAACCCCACCTGAGAGGTGAAGCCGGGTCAGCTTTTTTCCCTGTTCTCACTAGTGACTACGACGGGGCTGCGTGGTTTATTGCCTAAGCGGGCGCACTCACATGCAAAGCCAGACCCCGGCAGGACCCTGCAGTTCTGCCAGAAACCATCAAGAGGGTGGACTTTGCAGCCCCATTTTATAAAACTTGGATTTAAACTGAAAAAAATGCTGAAATCATAATGCTCGGGGTTTCTGCCCAAAGCGAGATGACAAAGTTCCTTGGGATGTATGCAGTGAGGGGAGGGGAGAAGATTCAGGTGGTGCCGGCTGGGTACTGAGGACAAAAAGCCTGGCTGCCCCAGAGCAGAGAGGCGACCTGAAGGGAACTACTCAGGGCGTGAAGGTCTAGGTATGTCTGATGCCACCCTAAATCCCAATTCTGAGCTTATAGACTCAACCCGGCATCCCGCACATTCCCATGGGAGAGCCCATCTCACCTGCTGTTGCTAATGAACTCGTTACTGCTGGACTCAACATGAGAAGCACTGAAGGGGGTATCGGGCTGCTAAATGTTGCAAAACCTTTGCCTAGTCCCCACTGCTGGGAGGTCACGCGTCAGCGCTTCACCCATTTCTGATAATTTACCCTTGGTCTCCAGAGATATCGTAGGAACAACATCTAAGTTGAGGTTAAGTCTGTGGCCGACAATGATGCCTGTAGCTTATTGTTCCAAAACACAATTGACTTGCAGATAGGTTGTGGCAACGGTGCCCTGAGGTTGGGAAGGAGGTGCAACCATTCACATTGAAGGTTGCCCGAGACCCGATATCTGCCATTTTCTTCCCACTCCCTGGAGAGAGCCTTGGCACCCACATGCTGATCCGGCAGGCTGAAGACCTAAGGGCTGAGGACTTAAGTGATGGGTTAAGGACTATAAAGAACTGAGACTCCAGCATTTGCACAAGACATTCCTCCAGCCTTGTGTCACCTGTGGCTCCCTGCGCTTTTCCAAGAGAATGTCTACCAGCAGCCAAACACAGAACAAACCCTCCCCTTGTGCCGGAGCGGGTCATGAACTCCATCCCAGGGAGCAGCACCAGGGTCTGGAGGGGTGAGGGGGAGTCGAGGCCGTCACCTTCTTCTCCAGGAGCAGCAGGGCATGGCGGCTGCCCCGGCTGGAGGAGTTGGGTGGGGGGGGGTTGGGCGAATGGCTGTCCAGGTCGATGTCCAAGTCTGCAGAGCTGCTCCGGGTGAGAGAGGGCTTCATGTCACACACAGCGGGGTGCAGGGGGGTGCCGAGCCATACCCCATGGACCTGTTCCCACGGCCCCAGCCCACGTAAGAGGTCCCACAACCCCAGGATGGTGTGAAGGGCCCCCAGCCCCAGGGCAGCATGAGAGTCCCCCAGCCCCAGCCATTGTGAGGGTCCCCCAACCCCAGGATGGTGTGAGGGCCCCCCAACCCCGCACCGGGGCCCGCTGAGCTGTCGGCTCTGAGGCGGCGGGAAGAAGGTGAGGCGAGGCCGTGTGCCGCCCCGCTCCTCCATGGCGCCCGTGCCACCCGCCCTTGTGTGTGTGGTGGCGGTTGCCATGGGTGGCCCAGCCTGACCCCCAGGGCTGCCAGGCAGTGGGGCCCAATGGGGGAAAGGGCTGGGTGTATTTCTGCATGTATTTGTAGGCACAAGCAGCCCACCCCGGTGGTGGCAGCTCTGGAAGCCCTCCAGCCCTGCCCCGGCACCCTGGAACACCTCCAACCTCTTCCTTGGTGACGCAGTGGCCACCAACAGCCACCTCCTGCTCATCACCCATCGCATCAGCACCATCATCAATGTCTCCCTGGAGGTAGTGAACACCCTCTGTCCCACCGTTGAGTACCTGCACGTCCCTGTGATGGATGCCGCTGCCACCCACATCTCCAGCTGCTTCAACTCCATGGCAGCTAAGATCCACAGCGTGGGGACGCACAGGGGCCCAGCGCTGCTGCACTGCACCGCCGGGGTGAGCAGGTCCCCACCATCTGCTTGGCCAATCTCCGGAAGCACCACTCCACGTCCCTGGGTCAAGTCCTGCCGTCGCATCGTAGAACCCAACAACGGCTTCTGGCAGCAGCTCATCCACTACGAATACAAACTTCGGCGTCAACAGGCTCCGAATGATCAGCTCTCTGTCAGGAACGAGACCCAATGTTTATGAAAATGAAGTAAGAGTGATGCTGCTGCTCTGAGTACAAACGAGCTGTTGTGATCTCTTGGCAAGAAACCAAGGGAAAACCAACGGCAGTTCTTCCAGATCCACGCCAGAGAGTTGAAAATAAACTCTTCTCATCTAAGGGGGTTGCAGCATGAAGTCTTTGCCGCTGAAAAGGGGAATTGCGGTACAACCAGTGAGTAGTGGGGTTTACTATAAATAAAATCCGCACAGTTTAAGCTGTGCAGTTTGTTTTCACACATCATTTGTATCGGGGTCCTGACAGTAACTCTGAAACCATCATGTGTTTAGAAAGTGTTGTTTTATTCCAGCACAAACTGTGCTTCTAGTACAGGACAGAAACTAGCCGTGAGTCAGGATGTTTGGAGTGTTACCAACATTTGTTTTTCCTAACTGGGATATGACTTTGAGTTTTGAGACAGCAACCCTAAGTCCAGTCATCTGCTGCATTCCAGAGAGGGCAGGAACAGCGCAGACTCCGGCATGCCTGGTTGGGAGAGACCCAAGGATGTCCTGCTTTCCTCTATCTGACTCTTTCTCCTCCCCTAGCTGATTGCCCCAACCCTTTTTCAGAAGGCGCCGTGGCCTCCCTCGGGGAGATCCATGGTTATTTGGGTGAGCTGCTCGCGGCTCGGGAAGAACCCCGTTTGCTCCTGGTGGGCTGGGAAGTCAAGATGGGAGCAAGAGGAAGCCTGCTGTCAGTTTGCGGCGAGGTCATCATGTTACAAACTGGAAGTCTGATCTGGGCACACTTTGGCATCGCTCAGCAGCAAACCATGTATGAATTCGGGTTTATCACAGCGTGAAGTTTTCAGCTCCAGCAGCTCTGTCTTGAGCGGCAGTAACAGACCAATTTCAGGTGGGAACAGGGGGCCGCGGGCTGGCATGTGTGTGTGAGGGGTCCCACAGCCCCTGGGTGAGCATGAGGGGATCCCACAGCCCCAGTTGGTGTGAGAGGTTGTAGTGAAGTGGAGGTCAGACTTTTTTCCCAAGTAACAAGTGATAGGACAAAAGGAAATGGCCTCAAGTTACGCCAGGGGGGTTTAGATTTGATATCAGGAAAACATTTTTTACTGAAAGGGTTGGTGAGCACTGGAACAGGCTGCCCAGGAAAGTGGTGGAGTTGCCATCCCTGGGGATATTTAAAAGCCGGGTAGGCGTGGTGCTGAGGGACAGGGTTTAGTGGTGGACTTGGCAGTGTTAGGTTGATGGTTGGACTCAATGATCTTAAGGGTCTTTTCCAACCTAAACGATTCTGTGATTCTATGATTCTGTATCCTACCAGTGGCACTTTGGGAGTGCTCCTCCACACCTGCAAAGAGCAACCTGGCAAACTAGCTCTCTGCAGGTCTCAAAGCAGCTCAGGTGATAGCTGTGGTGGGTGACAAAGAGCCTTGCCTTCCTTTGAGTGTATTGCTTTTCACCTTCTAGAAGCAGAGCAAAGATCTGACTCCTCACGGACTTGTAAGAGGTTCCTCTTGAAAACCAGAAATGATAAAGGAAAGGGACAGAATGAGCTGGTTGGGTGCATGAGTATCACAGAGAACATTGGAGACGTGGCGGACCTCTTGGAGGAGCCCTGTGTGCTGTGTGATCATGTGGGGCCTTGGTGCTTCTCAGACTGCGTCTCTGACCAGCCAAGGGTGCAGCTGGGGACTGCAGAGTCATCCCCACCCCTCTCCACTCCAGCTTTGCAGTTGAACACCAGGCTTTCGCTACAGAGAACAACCATGCCGCAATCCCTAGCAGGTCCCACACGTGTCTGGCTCTTGTTGTGCCAGCCATGGAGGCCACCACTGGCTGTGTCCTGGGCACGGGCACCTGCTGTCCCAGGTAGGGGACACCAGAGCTTTATGTATCTGGAGGTGGATGGAGACTTGTTGAAGTGGCAGTCCTGACTGCCTGGCAAGTCCGTGGCGATGAGGCAGGTCCAAGGCCAAGCTGCGAAGTTGGGTGGGAGTCCAGATCCAGCTCAACGGGGTACGCAGCCAAGCAGGGTCATGGCTGCAATGCAGCATCAAGGGTGAGCATCTCACGTTGAACGCAACTCTCAAGACAAGTGGGAGGAAGGAGGGTGGGGAGGCTGCTGCCAGCTTTTTCTTGGAGACCTCTTTCTTCACAGCCGTCAGAACCCAGGTGAGACACCTGCACCTGCCACCCAAACCCGCTGAAGCAAGCTCCCGTCTGGCTTTGGGTGCCACTAGGGCACCGTCTGGGTTTCACAACAGCCTGTGGGTCACTCAGGTTGTGATATAGCGGTCTTGTGTTACGCATGCAGTAAGTAGCACACTATTAAAACTGCCTTAAACATTTGTACCTTAGACCCCTACTTTATGATCTAAAGGCAAGATATTTTATAAAAACAAAGTATATGACTTTAAAAATGTCTTTGAGCTCACGTGATTTCATCATTTAAAAACTCAGCTCCAGGCAGTCAACAGCCTTCTCGGAGCAGAGCAGTGAGCCCGTGCCATAGAGGGAGAGCAATAAAGTCACCAGTAAAGCCAGCCTGCCCCAAAATGGGTAAGAGCAAGTTCTCGAAGGTTTTTTTTGGGGGTGCTGAAGCACAGAATGTGGGGCTGGGAGTCTGAAGAGTCATCCTGTCCATCTTCTGGCCTTCAGCTGGGCTTGGGCTGCTTCAAGTATCCTCGGATGTTGCTCTCCACTGCTGGATGTTGCATTCCTCGTGTTGCCTGTCCGCAGCCTGGGCTGTCCTGCCAGGGAGAATGCGTTTTTCTTAATGTCTACCCTAAAAAAGGCTTTGCCACAATTTCAGCTCCAGAGCCAGGATGGTCCCTGACACCATTTGAGGACTGCGACATGGTATGTTTAAGATCACAGCCCGGCGTATGAACGAAGGATGTCATCTACTGGCTTGGGCTCCCCGGCTTAGCAAGTGTTTGTCCTTGCTGCCTCCCAGCTGCGGATCCCGCGTCCCTCTGTGCCGATGCAGTAAGCCTCCCAACATCCCCGAGGGCAGCAGTTAATCCCCTCTCCTGAAACGCAGAAAATTTCCACCCCGTGTTCCCAGGCACCCGGCTGGCACGCAGTAAAGCCTCCCTGGATCTCCTCTCCCCTGCACGGAGACATGCTGCTCCCCCGCCAAGGGCAGCAGCTCACAGCTCAGTCCCCAGCACGCTCCATCACCACCCCGCAGGAAGATTTTAGCAGCGGATTAACAGCGGATCCAGGAGAAACACATTTTCATGCTTCACCTGGAGCTCCTTGCCAGCCAGCACCTCCAGCACGGTGCCACCAAGCACTTGGAGGTGCCACCCGTCCTTGCTGCCGCCGCTCACTGGCTTCAGCGCTGTCACCCCTCCTTGCATCTCCTGTCCCCTCCGTACATTTGGGAGCGCAGAAACCCGACAGCAGCGCTGGTGTGGGCAGATCAGGCAGCATGTGCTGGGTGCCGGCTACGTGGCCAACCCCGGGCAGTGGCATCTCAGGGGTTAATGAGCCCCAGCATGGGGGTGAGGGGGTTACGAGACCTTCCCAGCCTGCCTGTGCTTGGGTGTTATTTAAAAAGAGGTGAAAACCCAGAGGATGCTTGGAAGGGGCTGTGGAGAGATGTGTGGGTGAGGAAAGGCCACCATGTTTGGGGGCACAAGAGCTGCAGGGGCTTCAGGGGCAAGTGCGGGGTCTTCTGCCTGGGGAGGAATAACCCCCTGCACCAGTACAGGTTGGGGGTGACCTGCTGGAAAGCAGCTCTGCAGAAAGAGTCCTGGGAGTCCTGGGGGATAAATTGACCATGAGTTGACCAACATGACCAATGGTCTCCTGGGGGGCATTAAGAACATGGCCAGCAGGTCAAGGGAGGTCATCCTCCCCCTCTGCTCTGCCCTGGTGAAGCCACAGCTGGAGTACTCTGTCCAGTTCGGGGCTCCCCAGGTCAAGAAGGACAGGGAACCGCTGGAGAGGGTCCAGCGGTGCTACAAAGATGATCACAGGACTGGAGCACCTCTCTTATGAGGAAAGGCTGAGAGCCCTGGGGCTGTTCAGCCTGGAGAAGAGAAGGCTGAGAGGGGATCCCATCAATGCTTATCAATACCTAAAGGGTGGGTGGCAAGAGGATGGGGACAGATTGTTTCCAGTGGCGCCCAGTGACAGGACAAGGGGTGACAGGCACAAACTGGAACACGGGGAATCCCATCTCAACATGAGGAGAAGCTTCCTTGCTGTGAGGGTGGCAGAGCACTGGCACAGGCTGCCCAGAGAGGCGGTGGAGTCTCCTTCTCTGGAGAGATTCCAAACCCACCTGGATGCGTTCCTGTCCAGCCTGCTCTGGGTGCCCCTGCTCTGGCAGGGGGTGGGACTGGATGAGCTCCAAAGGTCCCTTCCACCCCCTGCCACTCCGTGATTCTGTGATTCGTGGCCCTTAGCCCAGGGCGACAGTCCATCTTGGTACCCACACCATGCCGAAACCGGGCCCAGGGCGCCGGGGCTGGCAAGGAGAACCAGAGCCCAGCAGGGACCAGGAAGCCGCTGCCTGCCAGGAGGCCGAGGCACGGGGACACATGTCCCCACGCGAGGGCTATCCCCATCTTTCAGTGCTCCTGCTAGGGCTTGTCCTACCCCATGCCACGGGGTCTGCTCTCCAGAAAGGTCCTTACCTTGGAGCAGAGGTGCTCCAACCTGCTCCTGCAGGCACCAGGCAGCCGGGGCTGAGATGCTGTCCCTCGTTCGGCTTAGCCGGAGCGGTGCTGGACACGGCACATGGACAGCTGTCGCCA